GATGGAATTGACGTGAAAAAATATAACGTTTTTGCGTTTTGTCATTATTTAATGACTGACGAAATTTTAAGGTGGTGCGAACATTTTCCTGCGTTTTCTCTAAACTTTTAAAAAGAATCACAAAACTGTATAAAAAACGCTTGAAAATTATCGCACCACTACGCAACTTCGTGAGCCATTAAAGAATGACAAACCACAAAATCGTTATATTTTTTCACGTTACTCCCATCGATAATTTGTCAGAAAAATGAAAACAACGTCAATTTTGGCTAAAAGGGTGTCGAACATCCTTAAGATCGCTGGTATCGAGTTTCACAACGATCTAATTCTCCACCGTAACTAGAAAGAGAGTGAGAGAGAGAGGAAAAAGCAGGGAAAAATTGTTGTGAGTGTGGAGCGAGGCTGCAGCCGTCACGACTCACGATTATTGCAACGTCCATTTTTTTTCCTCTTTCGTCTCAGACGAGAGGAGCTTGTTATTGCGTTATGTGCGGACGGGTGAGGGACCCAGAGAGGGCCTCGCTCCGGCGAGCTGTCATGCATCAGGGATATCTGCTATTTGATGAACGATCATGTGTTTTTTTTTATTTCTTATCAAGAATTCCTACGTCCAAACACTTCAGAAACCCATTTTGCGTCATTAATTCTAAAGTTATCGAACGAAAGAGACTAATTCAGGTCTGAGTTTTTATGATTTGGGCGGAACTACTGGGTAAAACGGGTTCCTAATTAGTTTTTGAAAGTCATTTTCCTAGCTGCAGGGTGGAGTCTTTTTTTACCTCCACCTACTGTTTATTTGTATTATTTATTATGTAAACATCTTAACTCTCGTTATCGAATTTTTTGGTGGAGAAATACATGGTAAATTTCAGGTAACGAAAAACCGAACGGACGTTGCGGAAGTTGGAATTCGATCTCACAGTCATGCGCATGTGTACTACAGAGGCACTCTCCAGTGGAGGTGACCCTCGGTGCACGCACTCTATCAGAAACTAAAGGTCAAATATACTGAATGGATGACAACGTCACGATGATTTTAAATCTAGAGAATATGATAAACAATTGGGAAATTGCTTTCATCAAGTGGTAATTTCTATGGCAATGTGTTTTAAATTTAATTCAATGATTAATTTAATGCAGCATTGTCTCAATGTTGGCAGGCAACATTGTCCTAACGTTGACGGCCAACAACCCCCCAACGTTGGCAGCCAACATTGCCCCAGCGTTGGAAACCAACATCTTCACAACGTTGGCAGCCAACATTTCCCCAGCGTTGGCCATCAAAATTCACCCGTTTCCCCAACGTTGGTGGCCAACATTGATCCAACATTGCCCCAACGTTGGCAGCCAACATTGTGCCAACGTTGAAATTTTTCACCTTTGCCTAAATATTGGTTTTAAAATGTTTTTTTCAACAACCGATCCTGACACAACAAATTGGTATTCAACATTGACCCAGCGTTGGCAGCCAACATTATCCCAGCGTTGGAAACCAACATTTGCCCAACGTTGGCAGCCAACATTGCCCCAGCGTTCGCCACCAACATTCACCCGTTTCCCCAACGTTGGTTGCCAACATTGACCCAACATTGCCCCAACGTTGACAGCCAACATTGTGCCAATGTTAAAATTTCTCACCTTTGCCTGAATATTGGTTTCAAAATAATTTTTTTCAACAACCGATCCTGACACAAAAGATAGAAAAATTGCAAAATTGAAATTGATGAGTTCTCAATTTTTAATTTTTCATTTTGTGAAATTGGAGAATGGGATTTCAGGAATCAGGAACAATTGAAAGTCTTCGACTGTTGCACAGGATTTTTTTTTGAACGAATAAATCAGCTTTCACGCGCCCCGTAATGAGATAAACTGTTCATTCAGAGTGGATTCTCGAAAAAAGAGAATAAAAAAATATCTTCCGGTCAATCGCTTTCACCGAACCACTGCCACATTAAACGACACCGGCTCTGCATCGGTATGCGTTTATTATTGAGTTCAATGACTCCCATGAAAGTTTATTTTGACCATAAATTGCCGAAATCAAGGGGACACATTAATTCCTTGGCCTCAATACAAAAATGAAATGTAAAAAAAAAATATAAAAAATTTAATCAATATAGTATATTGTGTTACTAGTGCGTAAAGTGAACTTTACAAACGCCGTGCGGAAAACAACTGCTTTACGCCCACTAAACCGTCTCGAAAAGTGCACTTTTTAGGCAGGCATCACAAAATAGTATATTATGTCACCAGGCGATAAAAGTATTATCTGGCGAATGTGGCATTATACTCCGAGCCGAAGGCGAGATAATGCTTTTATCGCCGTGTGGCATACGATATTTTATGTCGTTGGGCCCGAGCGAAGCGAGGTTAGAATCGCGGTTTTCTCGGGCATAACGACATAAAAGTGTTTTTTGACCCATGGAAGGTGTGTAGCGCTCACCGAAGGCGAGTGCGTAAATGGTCACTTTATGCACAAGTGATGAAAAAAATGTTCTTATTCGTATAAAAATAACAATTTTATCTGTAATTGGTATGGCATTAATTATCGGATAAAACCATAAAAAAAATTTAATCACATCTTCACTTCAAAGCCTCCGGAGGCTCTCAAAATAATTTCAGACAAGTTTTTTCACCTTCAGAAGCGACGATTTAAAATATCCCATCGACCAAATGAAAAAAATAGTCGAGTTCCTGCAACAGATTTTGAGCAACTAAACTCTCTCTCCCATCATCATCATCCCTGAAAACCCTGAAATGTCAATCCACCTCTCGTGAAGATAATTAAGATGATGCAAAACAATACCAAGACCCAGTGAACCAGAAAATAGCTCAGTCAGTGTCATCCGCGTGGCCATTGACCCAGAAACTGAACCATAAATGTCATCCCGAATCGCTGACAAAATTATGTAAAAGTCGAGAGGTAAGGTCTCGACTTACGTCATGGAGAACGAAATAATCATGTATTTATTGTTGCGCTGGTTAAACCTGTACTCGATGCATTTCAACGCGTACGCAGGGTATAGTTGTGAAGTAATTCGAGGGCGAAAGGAGGTTGAAGCGAGAAAAAAGGGAGATAATCGACGATTTTCCTTTACATTCATTTAAATTTCTCTGTAAATATTAGAGGTAGAGAGAAAAGTTTCGAATAAAAAATGGCCGTTGTGGTGAGCGGAACAAATTTTACTTGAGACATTTTTATTGTACTTTCGATATTTATGGAGATTTTTACAATGGAATAACATAGTGGGAATGGAGAAATTGGGGGTTTGGTGGAAATAATTGTGAATATCTCGGAAGAGAAATGAGATAAGTGAAAAAATCTAAATCGAGGGTTTTGGGGATTAGAAAATGAACATTTTTTTTGCTGGAATTTTTTTTGTAGCTGCGATATTTACAGAGATATTTATTATTAAACAAATTAGCACGAATCGGAATTTTGGGGTTTCACTTCAGACGATTGCCGATATCTTTAGACGTAATTCAGATAATTGAAAAACTCCAAATCGACATGTTTTAGTATGAAAAAAGGAACTTTTTTCATCTGGAAAGTTTTTCTGTAGCTCCGATATTTTCAGAGATATTTATTATTAAGCAAATTAACAGGAATTGGAATTTTGAGGTTTCACTTCAGATGATTGCCGATATCTTTAGAGGCAATTGAAGTAATTGAAAAAATTCAAATCGACATGTTTTAGTACGTAAAAAGGTACTTTTTTCATTTCAAAAGTTTTTCTGTAGCTGCGATATTTACAGAGATATTGATAATCAAACAAATTACACATGCGAAATTGCATAATGGAGAGGTAATTGTTTACTGCAAATAGTCTCGTAAATATTGGAGATACGGGAAAATGCTAAACAGAGAAAATTGTCCTCTCGTCGACCCCAACATTTTCTCCTTTAAACCTTTTCTTCTATCTTCAATATTAACTGAGATATCGTTAATTATTTAAACAAATTCGTGATCAAATAACTTTCGATTTTTTCGCGATCTTCAGTTATGAATAACTCGGGTGTTAATCATGCTAGAACAAAAACTCAAATTTCATTCTCTTTGTCTTGCAAATAGGAAGAACTCTTGTATTCAACATTTCCTCCATCTCCAATATTGACAGACTTATTCGCACTTCTCTGGGTTAAGACCAATAACTCTCCTCTCACTTTCAGTTTCGTTTATTTTCCTGTATTTGTTGTTTATTCTTTCTGTCCCAATCGAGCGACGAAAGTCATCAGGCGAACGTCATGCCTAGTTCTACGAAACCGCTGAGTAACATGACCTCTGTATAATTCATTGTGAAAAGATGAAAAAAAAGTTGAAAAAAACAATCAGAATGGGAGGACATCAAAGGTCACCCGAAACAAGACAAAAAATGTCAGAAAATATTTTTAGATAAAACTTCAGACGTTTACTTTGATGTCTGGATTGATTAGTACCTGATGATGACGTCTTAAAAATTCATGCACATGAAAAAAAATTTATACACGTACAAAAATACCCAAATGTTTCCTTGAAATTATCTCAAATGCCCGAAATTACTTCATCTCCATCATTTTTTGGACTTCTTTCATGTTACTGTAACAGTATTTAGATTTATTTTGTACAACAGTGAGCTCTAGTGCAAGAAAATCTAATGGATGTGGACGAATGGTAATTAGCTGTTGGGTTCAATCGACCTCAGTGTCACACTTCCGGTAGGAATAGGGAAAAATCGACGAAGATGAATTTTTTAAAGGAAAAAAACTGATCGAAAAGTGAAACACGTTCTCACTGTTGGACAAAAAATCGGTAGTGAAGCGGTAAAACGGTTCAAGTCGATTCCGTCCTGTTCCCTAGTGATAGGACTGCTGATCAGAGACTGTTTCTGAGCTTTTAGGAAATTATGGACTGCTTCGTTATATTTCGACTGACGACTCAGTTAATTAATTAATTAACTGTAGTATTTTTATTTTTATTCCACCGACTCTTGGTGGCTGATTCAATTGATTTGATGACGAACATGTTTTTTTAGTTTGAAAAATTTGATTGAAAAGTGATACAAATTGTTGGTATTAAACAGTTTGATTTTGTTAGATTTTTCTTTATTTAAGATTTTTTTGTTAGATTTTGTTAGATTTTGTTAGATTTTGATCCATTTTTTAAGGGATCAATATCTAACGAAATCAAGGTAACTGCTCTTTCAATTGAAAACAAACTCAAATCAGAGGTGGAGCATCGGAATTTTGTCTTTCAGTAATTAGAAGAAAAAATGCAAAATTAAAAACGTCGATTCAAACTTCATTTTTTTGATAAATACCGGTTAAATAAAAAGTCTATGTTGTAGAAAAATTAGGTCTGCTTTTAGAAAGTGAGACAACATTCAGATTCATCCTTTCATAATTCAAGACGTCCGAAAAATTGATTTGAAACTTCATTTTTCCATAAATACACCTTTAATAAAAATTCGAAATTATAAATAAATTAGTTCTGCATTAAAAAAGTGCGAAAACATCCAGATTAATTCTTCAATAATTACAAAACTCCAAAAAATTGTTTTGAGAATCTCCGAAGCCTCAAAATAAATTATTTAAAAACTCAAATTTTGGGTAAAAAACTCAATCTGAACTTAATTTTTCGATAAATACACCTTTAATAAAAATTCGAAATTATAAAAAAATATAAAAAATCATAACAAAATAAATGATTAAAAAATGCACAAATTTTGGGTAAAAAACTCGATCTGAACTTCATTTTTTCGATAATACATCTTTAATAAAAATTCCAAATTATAAAAAAATTAGTTTTGCATTTAAAAAGTGCAAAAACATCTGGATGAATTTTTCAATAATTACAAAACTCCAAAAAATTGTTTTGAAAATCTCAGAACCTCAAAACAAATGATACAAAAATGGCAAAAAATTTTGGGTAAAATAGAGATTGGAAATTCGACCCAAAAAATTATCGTCATTTTTACTCACCTTCATCAACGCAAATCGCTCATCATCAGCCAGAGACTTCACCACATTATTCATTATGCCTCAAAAATATATTTTCCACTCTCAATCAAGTCCCAACTCACACCTATGAATTTTCGATCAGAATTTTTTGATCAAATAAAATTTTCATTTCACCAAAAAAAAATTGAGAATTTCTTTTTTTCGCTGTGAGGAGTTTTGGCGACGGATCTTTATCACTGACACTGATTTAGTTTCGAATATTGGGGCGCTCTGAGATGAGTGTGTAACAAGTGGCACAGTTCTGCTTTCACGCGTACAAGCGTACGATCACCAACTGCAGACATAATGTTGTAGTCATTGGGTTTAAAGTTGCTTATGCCAGTGGAAATACGGGGGATCGAACACGAGGTGAGAGACACCCGAGAGACCTCGACGTTCACTCATTCACATTAGCATCGGCTAACGAGAAATGTGAATTTCGCAAATATTAACTGTTGTTTTCAACGATTTATTACTGAATAAAACGCGAGTCAATCCAATTTTTCGATAACTTATCTCAGCTTTTGCCCATTTTTCTCGTGAACTATTGGACCTAGAGGAAAACTGTAAGTACAAAAAATGCTCCTCTTTTCAAGACAAACATTTTTTGCTCATGATTTTTTCGTGTATTTTCATTAGTTATCCAGATATTTGCAAGTGAACAAATCGACGAAAACAGTCATTCATTGATAATTTTTTAAATAATTGTTGATATCTTGGTTAATCATTGAGATAGAACAAAAAATAAAAGAATTTCTTGGGCTTAAGAATATAAAACTTTTTTGTATGTAACATTTTTTTCTGTTTTCCATATTTATTGAGGTATTCAACAATAAAGAAGTCGATACTCGATTTTATTGGAATGGATTCATGCAATTATTTTGTTTATATCTGCTCAAATATTAGAGATAGATGAAAAAGTTAATGACAAACATTGTTCCTCTCCTCAAGCCCAACATTTTCTGTCCTCAGAATTTTTTTCTATCTACAATATTTACAAAGATATCTCCAATTGTTTATAAAAATTCGTGACATCGAATTTGAAGGTTTTTAAAGTTAATTTCCGTTGTTGATATCGGGAGTTTTAATTAAGATAGGGTGATGAATAAAAAAAGAATTTCTTCGTCTCGAGAGGACAAATAGTTTTCTTATTAAACATTTCTTGCCGCCTCCGATAATTTTCGCTCGAAACTTCCGAGAAATGAAAACAATCGAACTCACGATTACGACTTTTTTTTTGCTCCCGACATTTCCTGCCATTTATTACTGATCTTATGGTACTCAGTCGTGTAATTGTACAGTTAATGAGATCCAAGGATCATTATTTAAATGATAGGTAGTCACGATCGTAAATTCCTTCCTCAGTTCAAGAAAATTCATCGGAATCGTGAATTTGAAAAAATAATCATCCTGAATTTTTTCGAATCATCAAGAAGTTATTGAGAGTCATCTGAGGTCGGACAAACCAGTTTTTCGGATACCCGAGGAAATTTCCGGTTCCAAACCCTGGTCATGAACCCATTTACGGCCGGTAGCCTTGCAAACATTCGCAAAAAATCGAATTTCGCCTTCAGCCGTTTTTTGTCCATTATTCGGGAGGGAATGGGGCAAAATGGGTTCATGACCAGTTTTTGGAAGCACAAATGATCCTGACTATCCGATGAGATAGATTTTTATTCCAAAATTGAATTTTCAAAAATGTAAAAATCTCCCGAATGTTTGGAAAAACATGAAAAGTGAAAATTGGGGTTCAAACGGACCCAATCGTTTCTTCGGAAAATTTCCGACTTCAAACCCTGGTCATGTACCCATTTCTCCCCATTAGTTCTCTGAAAATCGAGAAGACAAAAATCGAAATTTCGCAATCGAAAAAACTGTTTTCATTGGTTTCTCAACAATACGTGGGGCAAAACGGGTTCATGATCCGTGTTTTGGATCGGAAATATCCCGCTTCATTTTTTTTACCCTCATGACCCTTAAACTGACCCCTGTGACCCTTAATCGAATCCTCGTCACCGTTATAGTGACCCTTATTCTGACCCTCGTGACCCTTACTCTGATCCTTGTAACCCAATCGAGACCCTCATGACCCCTGTGATCCTTATTTTGACCCTTGTGACCCTTGATTTTGATGTCTTAATTTCGAGTACAAAATTTTCATCACTAGAAGTCGATTTGGATTTTTATAATATAAAGAGGTTAATTATCATCGGATATCTAGGCAATATCTATTGCCTAGATATCTTATGATAATTAATTGAAAATCAATCGTTTTCGAGACCAATTTTTCGGTCATGACGTCACAAAGACGGTCAGATACCCCCTCATTGGTCGAAAAAGAAGAGAGGGGGGAGTTGTCGTCCTCCATTGGCCGAGGCGCACCTCAAGACTGCGTTAGGTCCGCTCGAGCCATTCTGTGATTGGCCCCGCGCTCGACCGTCTGCGCAACGTCACTGGCGATTTCAAAGCGTCTGAAATCTTCAATTTTTTTTAACAATTAATTATCATCTAGCCCGGTGGCCTGGCGTAGTGGTTAAGGCCGTTGCCTCACAACGGATAGGTTCCAGGTTCGATTCCTGGCCGGGTAGAATGGTGAGATCTAACCATTTTTAAAGTCTTGATCAATCGCCATATAGTCTCATCAGACTCGAAGCGATGTAAAATAAGCATAAAAAAAAAAAAAAAAAATTAATTATCAATTAACGAGCAATATTTCAAACGTTTGTGAATGAAAAGTGAATTAGTCAAGTCTCAACGTGAGATTAGAAAATTTAAAAAAATTCATGCAAGTTCCCTATTGCTATCAGAGCAGCCCAATGAAAATAATAAAAACGTGATTATCGTATGAAACAGTGTTCTGGCCGTGGCCTGCACGCACTCGCACCGCACAACCACTCGCGGCACAAAACATCGAGTCAGACGCGAACTAAACCGATCGCGATGGTGAGCCTCAGGGTTCTTTCAAATTCCCACACACTCAAGTGCCACTCTAGTCACTCACACACGTGCAAAGATACACATCTGCATTTTCAGTTGGTCTCCAACCGACGATTCATTACAGTCCTCTCAGTCTCATTTCAGACATCGCCAACGACATTGTATCATTATTCGCAATACGGCTGATTTTTTTAATCGCTTTGTGAAGTTGAAATAATTTCTCTTTTCAATTTTTTTAATGAATTTTTCCCCCCAATTGCGGTGTCAACTGACTGCGATATTGGGAAGAGGGGGAGATGACGGAATCACCAGACGGTAATAACAACACTTAGTTAATTAATTAATTAATTAATTAATCAGTCTTTTTTTTCGATTATTCTTTCAATCAATTAATGATTCGTTTTTGTTGTTTATGATTCACAAATTTATGATTTTTGTTTTCACGTGATTTTGGTGTTTTATTTATTTTTGGAGTGAGTGTTTGCGATGGGGGCGGGAGAGGGGGAGGGACGCTGATGGTAAAGGGCAAAGGGGGGAGGGGAACGAATTTTTTGAAGGAATTTGTGAGTTTTTTTTTCTATTTCACTATTTATTTTCCGTTTTTTGCGATTTAATATTGAGGTAATTTTTGGCAACTGCTGGGGGGATTATTAATAGAACGAGGGGACGAGAGAGGGAATTAGGGGGATATTTTTTTATATTTGTTACATTTCTTATTTTTTCAATAAAAAAATGAATTTATTTACGGTTTTAGATCATTGAAAAAAGGCGGAAATGATTATTAGTTTTTTGGGTTTGAAATTACGAAACAACTTGCGCGATGTTGTTTAACAACTGGAGAATTTATGAAAAAATTAATTATGAATTTGTAAACGAGTTCATTTGTTGTGAAATAATTGATTCAATTGGAGCGATCAATTCAGTAATTGGATTAACTCGTTCTTTCACTTTAAAGAAAATATCACACTGAGAAAAAAATTTCAGTTTTTGCGTGAAATCTTGCGTGGAAGTTACGGGCATTTGTTTGTCTGAAACAAATTTAATTGGAAGAATTATATTTTTTCTCAGTGCATTTACTGCCGAATGTTAGGACTTATTTAACACCATCATTCAAAACCAACCGGAAGTCACCGTATTACAACAAGACGTAGTCATTGGCGATAATTGTATAAACATTATCGACTAATATTGCTCGATTTTTTTTTCATTTTCGAGGTTCTAAAAATAAATAACGATCACATCTGTGGGAAATATTACCGGTGGCATGCCACTAGCAGATGAAATAAAAACACATCAACTTTCGCTAAGTTGAAATGTATTTAATTGGCCGTTGTGGCCGTTATCGTCCGATTACTTTCCGAAAAAGTGGTTGATAAATTTCATATTACGCGTATAAATATTTAAATGAGCAATAAATATTAAAGATTTACAAGATCTATGCGCGCGCTGATCTATTCATTTGTTGAAATGAAGAAATGGAATTCATTGAATTTCATTTTCTCGTGAATACCTTATAAATATTGATAATGAATCAAAGAGAATTCGACTAATGATCGAAGTGAATAGCGAAGTAGAGTAAAAGAATCTATAAAGAATTTTTCATTTTCAATTATCTTCAATTTTTTTAAATAATCGGTCTCCATAAAAGGACAGAATTTATTAATTTCACCGATGATATATATACATGTGGAGGTTGGGGTAAAACGGACACTTGACTTTTTTGAAAATGTTAATAAGGCGTTGAAACGTTGATAAAATTTAATATTTTTTTTTAATACAAAGAACAATTATTTCCCTTTGTGAGGAGCCTAAACCGAGCTCAATTGATAAATTTGTTTCTGAGTTATGAATAATTTTAAAAAAGTCTAAACTGTCCATTTCACAATACGCCGGATAGATTGGCTTCAAAAAACGTTAAACTTGATTTTTTATTAAAGTATATTTGGTAGAGTTTAGGGCTGGCAAAGCCCTCGAGTCGAAAAAAATGCATTAAAAAGTCGTTCTCGTTTCTGCTATTTTTCAGCGTCATTCAGTGGAATTTAGGGACCGTATAAAAAAGTGCCTAAATGTCTGTATGGTCGACGAGCACCGGGCGCAACTCAGTCTTTGGTGCTGAGATTGGAAATCCAAGTAATTTAAATCAACAGCCATTACCGAATCATTCGCATTTGCATACAACCGAGGGACATTGTTTCCATAATCGCTTTCACAATTGTCAGGTCAGTAAAAAAAAGTCACACCTAGTTGCACTTCATTACTATTCTAACGGAAAGAAAAAAATTCTAATTTTCATTACCTTTTTCTACTCGTTTTTTGATTCGTCTTCATTTGCAATAACTTTTTCCACCCGAAAGTTTTCCAAATAAACCAAAATTTTGATTTTTTTTTTGATTGGGAATTGACATTCATTTTTTAATTTATTTATTTGGCTTTGGAAATGATTTTAATTTATTAAAATAATTCTAATAAAAATTTTTATGTGATAAACATTATTAAATGACTTTTACGCGCACGAATGGACTTCTGCACTCTTTGTAAGTCCCAAAGAATAAATTGAAATTGTTCAAAACTTTTTGAAAAAAGTCCGGCTGGTGTCCTTCACTCGCTTCTCCACCTATCTCCACCGATTTCCGTAGAAATTAGCACTTTTCACTCATTTTTCCGCACAACACGTACAAAAACTTCCGTAGAAGAACTTAGCGGATGTGTTAAGATATTCTATTGGATTTCTATTGGACTTTCCAGTAGTTTTTGAGCGATTTAATTGAAAAAGTTTGCAATTTATCTGCGCGTTTTATTAATAGAAACGTTCAATGGAAAATGTTCTACAGAAAAAATCAATAGAACTCGATTTTTCTATAGAACTTATTCTATTGAGACATGTTCTATAGAAATCCTTCGGCTCAAATTTTCCAATTTTTTTTGTTCCATTTTTTAATGGGACTTCTTCCCATTGAATGAAGTGAAAAAAACTCGGTAAATTCGTGTCTAGGAATTTTTATAGAAAATGTCTCAGATTTGTTTCTATAAAATAGTTTGCATTGGATTTCTATTGTTTTTTCAATAGAAATTTTCGATGAAAAATGTTCTATAGAAAAAATTAATAGATTTCGATTTTTCTATAGAACCTATTCTATCGAGATATTTTCTATAGAAATTTCTCGGCTCAAATTTTCCAATTTTTTTATTCCATTTCTTAATGGAAAGAGAAGATAAATTGAGTGGGAAACAATTAGAAAATTCGGCTCGAGAAATTTCTATAGAAAATGTCTCAACTGAAAATTTTTTATAGAAAGACGGAATTCTACAGATTTTTTCTATAAAATGGTCCCTATTGACATTTTTTATAAATAAAGGAGCAGTACAGCTGCGGAATTCTTCAATAAAATCTGTGAAAAACTAATAGAAGTTTTAATAGACGTCCAATAAAAATCCAGCAGAATTTTCCATCAAAATCGCTATAAAATTCTATTGGATTTCTATTGAACTTTCGATTAGTTTTTGGCCGATTCTATTGAAAGATTCGGCAGCTTATCTGCGCTTTTTTCAATACAAGTGTTCAATGGAAAATGTTCTGCAGCAAAAATCAATAGAATTCGATTTTTCTATAGAACCTATTCTATCGAGATATTTTCTATAGAAATTGCTCGGCTCAAATTTTCCAATTTATTAAATTCATTTTCCTAATGGAACGCGGCGATGAATGAAGTGGAAAAACCTGGAAAATTCATACCAAGGAATTTCTATAGAAAGTATATCAACGAAAAAAGTTATATAAAAAAATTAAATTCTCCACATTTTCTCTATAAGTACACGCGCCGTAAAGCTCTCTGCTGAATTCTTCAGTAGAATCGGTGAAAATCTAATAGAATTTTCAATAGAAATTCAATGGAAATCCAATCGAATGTTCTATAGAATTCCCTAGGTTTTTCTATGATTTTTTTTCGTGCATGTCATGTTCTCAAACGGCCACTTCAAGTTTTTTGTTCCTCGTTCATTATTAAAAATTATTATTCTTTTTTTCGTTCAGCACCCATTGGTTTTTTTTGCCTATCGAGGGAATCACGTCGAGTAAGCACCACCCTGCTGGCATCGTCGTAATTTTTGTGGTACGTTAATTGAAAAAAAGAGGCCCTGATTTGCTCCCAGCACATCCCCACATAGTTTGTATATTCAATTAATGGTTTTTGTGGTTCCTGACCGTTTTGTTATATCAACGCCAGCCGAACCTTTGTGACTAACATTGGAGCACTAAATTTTTGTGAGAATAATTTGCTGCAATTTTCTCATTTTTTTTCGTCCTTGATTTTTTACCCTCAGTTGGAGGTTAAAAATAATCGGTTTTTGTTTTTCCTCACAAAAGGCAAAGATGTCGCAGTCTGGTGATGGCCTTCACACCCCGGGTTACCTTTCCTGGAGGAAGCTCCAGCTCAGCAGAGCGAAGCTCAAGGCGTCGAGCAAAACTTCGGCATTGTTGTCGGGATTTGCAATGGTGAGGGATTCTCGCTTAATTTTTGGTCATTTTTCGAAATAATGACATCTTTCAATTTCCGGTTTTCATTAATTAATAAGTATTGATTAATTGAAGAGATCCGGATAGGTGTAAGATGGAGAGAATTATCTAATGATATTGATCCCCTCGTGCAAAGCTGAAAAGGATATTTTTAGTAATCTAGTAATCCCATATGACTTCAAAAATTAGCTCCGAGAAATTCTGTGTCCTCGTACTCCTCGTCCCTCCAAAATACTTTTAGTGCTCGAATAATCCCTCCGCAGAAATTCCCATCCCCAAAAAATCTAAAAAAAATCCCCATCCCGGGATCAATCCCCTAAAGAATTCTCGAATCCCCATCCCTCTATCCCTCCTCATCCCTCAAAAAATTCTGTAGATCCCCAATTCTTTAAGAGTCCTTGAATTCCCATTCCTGTAAAAATCGCATATCACCATCACAAAAAATCCCCAAAATCCGAGAAAATCCATCCCTAGAAATCCAGATCCGCAAAAAAATTAAAAAAAATCCCATCCCGATACCCCAAATAATTCTTACATCCTCATCCCTTCAAGAATCTTTAAATCCCTATCCATGCGAAAATCCCATATCCCCACCTTAAAAAAAAACCCGAAATCCCAGAAAATTCATCCGTAAAAATTCCCATCCACCCTAAAAAATTCTGCAGATTTCCATCCCTTCAACAATCTGTAAATCCCCATCGAAGCAAAAATCCCTGTCCCTGCGAAAATTTCATATCTTTACCTCCAAAAAAATCCCCATCCCCACATCCCAATCCCGCAAAATAATTCTCAAATCCCCGTCCCCCAAAAAATCGTCGTCCATATGCCTTCAAGAATTCTCGTTTCCCCAACCTTTGCGAAAATCCCATATCCCCATCCCCAAAAATCCCAAAAAATCGATTTTCAAAGAATCCCCATCCCGAGTCCTCATCCCACCTAAAATTTAGTAGATCCCCATCCCTTAAAAATCCCCAAATCCCATTCCATCCCCAAAATTTACCAAAATCCTTGCAACCGAAATTTCTATCATTCCAGGTGGCGATGGTAGAGGTTCAACTGAACCCCGGCTCGAACTTCCCCAACTCCACGTTAATAACTCCATCGTCCCTATCACAGCGAAAATCCCACATCCCCATCTCCAAAAAACCAAAATACCAGAAATTCCTCTCCAAAAAATAGAAAAAAAACCCCATCGGCAAAAAATTAAAAAAAAATCCATCCCCACATCCCAATCCCGCAAAATGATTCTCAAATCCCCGTCCCCAAAAAAACCTTCTAGATCCCCATATCCCTTCAAGAATCCCCAAATCCCCAACCCTGCGAAAAGCCCAAAAAAATCAATTTCCAAAGAATCCCCATCTCGCGCCCTCATCCGACCTAAAATATAGTAGATCCCCATCCCTTAAAAATCCCCAAAATCCCATCCCATCCCCAAAATTTCTGTCATTCCAGGTGGCGATGGTAGAGGTTCAACTGAACCCCGGCTCGAACTTCCCCAACTCCACGTTACTAACTCCATCGTCCCTATCACAGCGAAAATCCCACATCCCCATCTCCAAAAAACCAAAATACCAAAAATTCCTCTCCAAAAAATAGAAAAAAAACCCCATCGGCAAAAAATTAAAAAAAAATCCATCCCCACATCCCAATCCCGCAAAATGATTCTCAAATCCCCGTCCCCAAAAAAACCTTCTAGATCCCCATATCCCTTCAAGAATCCCCAAATCCCCAACCCTGCGAAAAGCCCAAAAAAATCAATTTCCAAAGAATCCCCATCTCGCGCCCTCATCCGACCTAAAATATAGTAGATCCCCATCCCTTAAAAATCCCCAAAATCCCATCCCATCCCCAAAATTTCTGTCATTCCAGGTGGCGATGGTAGAGGTTCAACTGAACCCCGGCTCGAACTTCCCCAACTCCACGTTACTAACTCCATCGTCCCTATCACAGCGAAAATCCCACATCCCCATCTCCAAAAAACCAGAATACCAAAAATTCCTCCCCAAAAATCACAATCCGCAAAAAATAGAAAAAAACCCCCATCGGCAAAAAATCTTTAAAAAAACCATCCCAATCCCGCAGAATGATTCTCAAGTCCCCATCCCCAAAAAAACACTCTAGATCCCCATATCCCTTCAAGAATCCCCAAATCCCCAACCCTGCGAAAATCCAAAAAAAATCAATTCCCAAAGAATCCCCATCTCGCGCCCGCATCCGACCTAAAATATAGTAGATCCCCATCCCTTCAAAATCCCGAAAATCCCATCCCCATCCCCAAAATCTGCAAAAATCCTTGCAACCGAAATTTCGATAATTCCAGGTGGCGATGGTAGAGGTTCAACTGAGCCCCGAATCAAAAGTCCCCAACTCCATGTTAATAACCTTCGCAGTCTGCACAACCCTCCTGGTAGCGGTCCACATGCTGGCCCTTATGATCTCCACCTGCATTCTCCCGAACATCGAGGCGGTCTGCAATCTCCACAGCATCAGTCTAGTCCACGAGTCCCCCCACGAGCGCCTCCACTGGTACATCGAGATCGCCTGGGCGTTCTCCACTCTCCTCGGGCTCATTCTCTTCCTCCTCGAAATCGCAATCCTCTGCTGGGTCAAATTCTACGACTTCTCCCAGACGGCTGCATGGTCCGCCTGCATTGTCCTCATTCCAGTACTCATTATTTTCCTCGCCTTCGCCATTCATTTCTACCGCAGTCTTGCTGCCCATAAATACGAAGTCACGGTATCTGGTATTCGGGAGTTGGAACTTCTGAAGGAACAAATTGAATCTACCGATGTCGAGGGGAGAAACGGCAGTAGTTTGTTATCGAATTCTCATATTGTGTAGAGTTAACCATTTCCAGTTTTTTACTGAAATTTTTACTCCAATTCCGAATTTTTTGGTCAATTCAGGATTTTTTGGGGAATGAGGTCGTAAGGAAGTCCATTAGGTAGTTCGGGGAATTCCCGCTTTCCAGTGATGGTCATAAGTGCTTTGAAGGGATGGGGATTTGAGGATTTCTGGAGGGATGGGGATAAGGGAATTTGTGACGGGATCGAGATTCGAGGATTTTTAGGGGGGAAGGGATTTCGGAATTCTTTGGGGGATAATTTCGAGATTTTTTATGGGATGGGGATCAGGAGTTTTTTAGGGGAACAAAGGGAATTCCGGGATTTCTAAATGATTTCGGGATTCCTCGAAGGGTGAGGGGTTGGGAATTTTCGATTTTGTTCAGGTATTCTTGGGGGGATAGGAACTTGGGATCTACAAACTTGAGAATTTCTAGAGGGGCTTTGGATTTCTTTTGGGATGATGATTAAGGGATTTTTAGAGGACCAGGGATCGGAGAGTTGTTAGTAGATGCGAATTCAGGGATTTATGAACGGATGGAAATTTAGAGATTTTTCGAGAAGTGGGAATTTTTTACGGATGGGAATTTTTTAAGACAGAAAATTGGGAGATTCTGGGTGGGATGGGGATCGGAATATTTCCAGAGAGATGGAGATTCAGAATTTCTTTGGGAATTTAGATTTTAATATTCTTAGAGGCGTGGAAACTTGAAAATTCTTTAGGAAGGGGGATTGAGGGATTTTCAAAGGGATGGAGACTTAAAATTCAGGAATTTTCCATTATATTGGGGTTTTCTAGAGATTGGGATTGGGGGATGTTTGGAGGGATGGGGATCTGAGGATTTTTAGGAAGCAGGAGACTTGGAATTTCTTTCGGAATTTCGAAATGAGGTTTAGGGAATTCGTAGAGGATTGGGGATCAAAGAATTCTTTGTAAATCAGAATTCTAGGATTTACGGAGAGATACGGGATCTGAGGATTTTTCGGAAGCAAAAGCCTTGGAATTTCCTTTCGGGATTTCGAAATGTGCCTTAGGGAATCCGGCGAGGATTAGGGATCAAAGAATTCTTTGTAAATCAGAATTCTAGGATTTACGGAGAGATACGGGATCTGAGGATTTTTCGGAAGCAAAAGCCTTGGAATTTCCTTTCGGGATTTCGAAATGTGCCTTAGGGAATCCGGCGAGGATTAGGGATCAAAGAATTCTTTGTAAATCAGAATTCTAGGATTTACGGAGCGATGCGGGATCTCAGGATTTTTCGGAAGCAAAAGACGTGGAATTTCTGTCGGGATTTCGAGATGAAGTTTAGGGAATTCTTTGTTAATGAGAATTCTAGGATTTACGGAGCGATGCGGGATCTGAGGATTTTTCGGAAGCAAAAGACTTGGAATTTCCTTTCGGGATTTCGAAATGTGCTTTAAGGGAATTCGGAGAGGATTAGGGATCAAAGAATTCTTTGTAAATGAGAATTCTACGATTTACGGAGCGATGCGGGATCTCAGGATTTTTTGGAAGCAAAAGACTTGGAATTTCTTTTCGAGATTTCGAGATGAGGTTTAGGGAATTCGTAGAGGATTAGGGATCAAAGAATTATTTGTAAATGAGAATTCTAGGATTTACGGAGGAATACGGGATCTCAGGATTTTTCGGAAGCAAAAGACTTGGAATTTCTTTTCGGGATTTCGAGATGAGGTTTAGGGAATTCGTAGAGGATTAGGGATCAAAGAATTATTTGTAAATGAGAATTCTAGGATTTACGGAGGAATACGGGATCTCAGGATTTTTCGGAAGCAAAAGACTTGGAATTTCTTTCGGGATTTCGAGATGAGGTTTAGGGAATTCGTAGAGGATTGGGGATCAAAGAATTCTTTGTAAATGAGAATTCTAGGATTTACGGAGCGATGCGGGATCTCAGGATTTTTCGGAAGCAAAAGACTTGGAATTTCCTTTCGGGATTGCGAAATGTGCTTTAGGGAATTCGGAGAGGGTTAGGGATCAAAGAATTCTTTGTAAATGAGAATTCTAGGATTTACGGTGGGATACGGGATCTCAAGATTTTTCGGAAGCAAAAGACTTGGAATTTCTTTTCGGGATTTCGAGATGAGGTTTAGGGAATTCGTAGAGAATTAGGGATCAAAGAATTCTTTGTAGATGAGAATTCTGCGATTTGGGGATGGATAGGAGCATGGGGATTTCCAGAACCCATTACTCTTCAAATTATGCTCAGAAAATTTTTGTTTGTTTGAATGAAAATTTGTTTTTGAGACTACCTGATAACTCCTGGGGCAAAATGGACTTATGACCAGTGTTCGAAAGCGGAAATTTTCCTGGCTATCAAATGGGGTAACCTTCGACCCCCTTGGAGCAGTTCTCAGCTCAGTGCCAAAATACATTGAAAGAAATTATCTTTACTTTCTCTTCCATTTTGAAAATTGCGGAAATTAGAAAAAAAAAACTTCCACAGAAAAATTCATTTGTTTATTTAATAGATTATTAAGAATAATTACATAGGTTTATGTAGGCGATAATGTAATTACGAACTGAGAGGATATTAGGACTCTTGTAAATATTAGAGATAATTATGTCTTAATTTTTTTTTCTTGTCACTTTTCTTGTCTGGATGATTAATCTTTTTTTTTTGTTTTCGATGGGTTTTCATTGAATCTCGTAGGTATCGGATTCAACTTCTATTTATTGGAATGGCGAATCTCAAATTCAGGCAACTAAATTATATTTTTTTCTTTCTGTCAGATTTTTACTTCGTGATTCAATTGATTTAGGTAGCTCGTTTTTACCTAATTATTACAGAACGAGAAAATTTTAGTGTAAATAATGCGAATACATTCCCTTAGAGCGTCGTGACTTAACGGAGAGATGACTAATGTGAAAATTGATTGAATAGGAATTGCATGTTTTGGGGACATTATTGGGTGATTTATTGGTAGATTTTTTTTAGAGAAGCAGTATTTCAATCAATTTGGGCGACCAGGGAGACTCTGGAGGTGTATTTGCCCTGGAAAATTCACAAAAATTTGTATTACAGAAAGAATTATAAAAAATTTAAATAAAAAGAGCCAAAGGAACGAAAACTTCATTTTTTTAACCCAATCTATAATTTTATAAATAAAATATGTGTGACAATATGACACTCGATTACCAGCCCTGGGATTGGGTATATCGTAGGTTCTGGTGCTAAATCTCTGGAGATGTCCCTCATGGTACTTCTCTTGCAGACATCAGAGCTCCAGAGGCCTTCCTGGAGGAGCCCTCGCCTCAGATGGTAGAATCTCCCGAGGCCCTCCTTTTTCCCTTTCGAGAAGTTGCCCTCGTAGCGATTGCCATCAGCTTCGTAAATGAGGAAAATTTTTTGTTACATTGTGGAAATTGAAAGTGTTGTGGGACGGTTCAATTCACTAACAAATGCGATTACGTTAATTACTCACAAATTAATGACAAATGGTGGCCTGTCACCCAATATAATGCAGGGGGAAGACTGATTTCGTAAATCTTTTGCCACACTGCACAGAGACTTTTATTACGGAAAAGGCTTTTTGAAAAAAGTTGTAATATTTTGGAGAATTTTTTAATCACACTTTTATCACATAAAAATGGCAGATGACTACACACCACTGTTTTGAAAATTGAGATACCTAGCTGTCACTTCCCATGAGGAGTTAGTGTTTTTTTATCCACCATGGAAAATGACAGATAATAGATAATTTGCCACAGCGAATCAGATATTTGTAATTTCCACTTTTTTCAACTCATTCTGAATCTCAATTAAAAACGCTCTTTGAAAAAGTTCAGAATTTTTTCTATTTTTTGTTATCATTCTATCATAGTTTTTGGGAATTTCTACATGATGTACCACTCAATGGACAATTTTGGATTACGAAAAATGAAAAAAATCCAGATAACATTCGAAAGATAGTACACCCGGGCCTTAATTCTATTTTTTGTTAATAATTTTTCAAGAGAATCCGTTCTTCCGTGAGGGAGAACTTTTATGAATTTATCGTCATTCATTTATCCACGGCCAATAACTAACGGAAAATTCAATCGAAATCGAAAAGAATTGTCTAGCGAATTCGCTAGGTTTTTCTATTAAATTTTTTCGTGCAGACTTCTCACCCTGTATCAACATGCCAGGACCGTCGCAACGTTCATCTCTCCATTGTCCTTGATAGAAGCTTCCGTCAGACCCCCATAGTCTCCCGAAACCGTGTCTTCTACCCCTGCAGAACTCTCCCTCATAAAAATCTCCGTTCGAGTACCAGAAAGCACCGAAACCCTGCTTCTTACCCTCCACCCACCCCCCGGCGTAAATTTTCTCGATTTCCCCAGTTCTGAAGACTTTTGAAAGGACTCCGAAGCCGTGGGACTTCCTCTGGAACACTTGACCCTCGTACAACCACCGGAACTCATCGACTTTCTTATTCTCTCTTTAAAAAATATGACTGCATTAATTCCGTTCAATTAATTCGATTGATTTAATTTTTTAAGAGAGCGTAGGGCAAAACGACCCCCTTTGACTTTTTTTGTGATACTCATAACTCTGGAATAAATTCATTAATTGAGATCAGTCTAGGCCCATTCTAAAGGAGAAATGTAGTTTCCATGGAAAACAAAATATTCCATTTCATTTCAAATTGAATGAGCTGTTAACATTTTTGAAAAAATCAAAAGGGGCCGTTTTACCCCAGTCTCCCAGACCGGGCCGTTACGACCCCAGTCGTAAAGATTACGTAACTTATTATCCGCGGACAAAATATCCGCGGGACAACAAATCCGAAGACATATCATCCCCGACTAAATTCCTCCTGTGGAATCTCTTATTAAAATCATCCAAAGGCTAAAATACCACAGTTATTAATGAATGTAGGGCGGGTAATATTTAGCAAAGATTACAGAGATGATAGTTTTGAATGTTTATATTCAAGAAATTGCAGCAGAAATCAGTCCAAACAAACTTTAATAATTATTAAAAGTTTAATAATTCGTCAGTCAACAAAAATTTTGAATTGATTTTACAAGTCAATTTCTTGATTATAGATATTCACCAACAAATTCCTCACCTCAAAATAGTTTTTTTCTCATTTTTTGGTTATTTTTTTTGTGTAAAAAATTATTGTCATTATAAATAAACTTTTCATCAATTACCTGTGTATTTTCACCCACTCAAATTCCTCTCGTGACTGTTTTTCCGAGTCGTGAGGGTGTCTATGAATTTTGTGAGCCCCAATCAGTGCCATTTTCCCACTAAAAACGATGTCTAAAAAATTGTCAACAATTTCATAATTCCTTTTTTGTTTCCCAATAGTTTTTCTTCTTTTTCACTGCAATTAATGACATTTCACCATCAAAACTCTTGATGTTGACGAACCATTCAGGAGAAATCAGCCACAACAACAAAAATTGTTAAATACTCCATAATTATTTATTTATAATATATATATATTTTTTTGTACAATACTGCGATATGCTTACAACAAAATGATGAGTGGACAACTTTCTCTAATGCGAGAGCCAATAGGGCCCTTAATTAATCCTTTACGATTTTTCACTAATCACTACGCCTTTTAATTTGCAACAATTCAAAAGGCAACTAAACTGGCTTTCCAACCAGAAGAAAAGCCTCTCACATCTTCCCAAATATCTCTGGAACCCCGAGACCTAAAGATTTGAGTGAGCGCTCATCGAAAAGCTGATGAAATTTCCGATTCCATCCTCTGGTCACGAACCCGTTTTGCCCCACTGGTTACACCAAAACCCTTAAAAAATCGTTTCGACGCTCAAAATTGATTTCTTCGCTTATTTGAGGACATCCCGGGGCAAAATGGGTTCAACACCAGACTACGGAATCGGAAATTTTCTCAGCTTTAAAATGAACGCTGAATCGCGCCTCTAGGTCTGATAGTTCCCGAGATATTCAGGAAAAACGAAAAAAATTGTTCAACTTTTCTTCCAGTTTTTCATCTGCTGTTTAATCGATTATTTTTCGTCTCTGGATTCTCTCTCTGGTAACCTGCCTTTTTCTCAATAATGTTAATGAATATTTATGTTACTCATACGTCGACCTTATCGATAAGATATGTTTATATCTATTAATCCGATATGAGAAATTTCCAAATGAATTTTTTGCGATTTTTTTCCTCGAGAATTTTTTCCCATTTTCAATTTTTTTTCGTTTTCATTATTCTTTCTTAATTAGTTTAGGTATCTCATAAGGTCATCTACGTGTATAAATCGTCTATGCGTCATTCATTTTACAAATTTCAAGTACAGACTCGCTGCAGTCTTGTGCAAATATTTTTTTATAATTTTTTTTTCGGATTTTAGGTTTGTAATCACAATTGACTTTTTCACGGTACAAAAATTTTTTTTCATCAAATTTTGCTTTCGTTTTTTGGAGGCGCGAGTGGACGATGAGATCCAGTGATTTTTTGGCGGGATTTTTTTTATTTATTCGTCGCAAACTCGATTTTTTGAATTTGCGAATTTTTCCCGTCCAGAATGTTTTTTTTTAATTTTGAAAAAATTCACTGGTCCCAAGACATGGCAACCCCCCAATTTTTAATTTTTTTTCGTCGTCAAATGTTGAATTTCACGGTTTTTGCTTCTTAATTAGTTTTTATCAATTAATTAAATAATGTTATTAATTAATGTAAAAGCAGTCGTCAAGTAATTTTACTATTTTTCGGGGAAGTCTCTCCCCCTTCGTTTGTGCCACTGAATGGTATTTTCACATTTGTTTAACTTCATTAGTCATTTTTAATATCAAATGCTATGAGGTTGATTAATTGAAGAGCGAAGTGGTAAGAGAACATTATCTGACATTTTTTTATGGAATTGAATTATTTACGAAAAAGTCTTCAGGTTTTTTTGTAAAATAGCTCATTATCGAGACTATTACAAAATTGTCAAGAAAAAACAACTGCTTTAGTACAATTCAAGGATTTTTTTGGTTTTTAGTTGAGGGTCAAAAGGTCTCGAGTGGCAAACGGCCCTTGAATAGGTGTAGGGTTAAGGGTCAGATGAACCTTTGAGACCATCTCCGTAACCTTTTCGTCCTTTAAGATCATTTGACTCTCAACCCTGAACAGTCTTAACGGTCCAAAATTATTTGATCCTCAATTTTAGACGTCCTTACGGGTCATTTGCCTCTCTAGACCATTTGACCTTCACCTCTAATTTGGCCCTCAGGAGCATTGAAAAAGTTTTTGAGGGTCAAGCAACCCTTAAGGACGTCTGAAGTTGAGACCCAAATGATTTCGAAGGTCAATCGACCCTTGAGGACGTTTGGAGTTTTGTGGGTCAAATTTTCCTAAGGGTCAAACGACCCTCGAAGGCGAATAGGGTTGAGGGTCATGGCTTTTCTCATCACTCCGCTGTATCCCGTTTGACCCACAAGACCATTTGACCCTTCACCCTGAGCATTATTAAGGGTTGTTTAGCATAAGGCCATTTGACCCTTCACCCTGAACACTATTGAGGGTCATGTGACCTTCAAGATTAATTGACCCTCCGCTCTGGACGTCCTTGAAGGTAATTTCCCCCCAAAATCATTCGACCTTGTTCAAGGGTCGTTTGACCCTCAGGAGAATTTGACCTTTCACTAAAAATGGTCTTGAGGGTCAAACGAACCTTGAGGACGTCTAAAGTTGAGGGTCACATGATTTTGAAGGTCAAATGACCGTTGAGGACGTTTGGAGTTGAGGGTCAAATTGTCTTCAGGTACGACAAAAGGTCCTCAAGGGTCACTTGACCCTCACAGCCGTCTGACCCGCAACTAACAAAAAAAAAGGAAAATCTAAAATTCACCTTTTACCACTCCCCTCCAAACCAACCTCTCTCATTATCTCTTCTTTATTCTCATTTTAATTAATTAATTAATTAATTAATTAATATAAAATTTCTAGATTATGTACATATGCGTACGTTTCAAGTGCATATGGCGCAATGGATCGGTTTTTTTTTCAATTATTAATTATACCTGCCCGAGCTGCTCCTTTTGTTCACATTTTTATTAAAAAATTAAGTTTAAAAAATCAATTGATTAAGAAAAAAATCAATCAAGGGGAGAAATTTGTGTCGTTGACTCCTGGGACTCGATTCGAATCGAATTATTCAACTGCTCAAATAATCAAAAATGGATTTTTGATAATTTTTTAATTCTTTGCAAATTGAAAATAATTGATTTATTAATTAGTTTGTTAATAATATTTTTAGGGGGAATTTTCCGACGTTAATTTTGTAAAAAAATACTCGTCGTGCTGCCAAAATAATATCATTAATTATAAATAACAACTAATTGATGAATTATGATGATTAAAATAATTATAAAAATATTTTACTGTAAAAAATCATTTTGTGATGAATTGAATTAATTAATTTTACGATGTTTTTCGGGGTTTTATACATAGTGTACAGTTTGGAAGAAGTCTCAAGAAGGTTCAGAATTTTTAATATTTTTTTCTCACGAAAAATTAATAAAAATTCTTGAAAAATTAGTTTTTCAACTTTTTTTATTCTGAAAAATTGAAAAAAATAATTATGGGATTAGGAGGGAATATATCGGGGTCGAAGTGATGATGCATGGTCCCACAATCGTCACGAGTGATTGAAAAAATGTCTTCAATGTTCAATTAATAAAACAATGATCGTGTTTAATGCTTGATTGATCGATTCTGGAGTAAAAAAAAGTTTTTCTAGTCTTTTCTAATTTTCTCTAAAAATATGGAAGTTAGAGAAAAACGCCTCGGACAGCAAATGTTCGGCTCGACGAGAGGAACAACTTTTGTACTAAACATTTATTCATATCTGGAATACTTAATTAAATATCCAGTGTTAAAATAAATTAATAAATAAAATCGTAAATTCATGTTCAACGTTCAACCCTGAATATGTTGATAAATATCACAGATACGAAAAAAAATCATTAGTTAAAAGATTTTCTTCTGTTCGAGACGATTGAAATGAACTCTGATTTTTTTTCTATCTCAATAATTCACTGAGAATTTGTTAATTGTTTAAACAAATTGCTTAAAAGTCATCCTTTACAATTTCATAATCACATCTACAATCGCGAATATGTCAAATTCTAATTATTGTACAGAAAAATATCAAAAATCTTTTCATTCGTTTTTTCAAGACGAATATTTTGTCTCCAGCTCATTTTGCCCCATCTTCAATAGTCACCCCACAACTCCCCAAAAACCGCACCTCTTATGGATTTTTTTATGTTCGCATTCTCCAGCTCTTAAAAATATTTCAACCTTTTCAATTATTCCCCTGAAACATCTCCGGAGCCTTCAATTATCTATAAACAACTCCTCACCACCTTCCTCCACCCCTGAAAGCTCCAGAATCAATCAATAATCCTTAAATCACCGTCTGACCTTAATAATTCGTTCGTGAAGTGATAAAACGAGAAATATCAACTTCGAGCTGAGTTTAAAGGTCGAATATCTCAGGATTCAGTGGAGATAGCAAAAAATTTGTGAGGACATTTTTTGTAGAAAAAATAAAAAGCTACAAAAGAGTTTTTATAAAAAATTCCGCTATCTCTCTCAGTTTTCAAGATATATTCCAAAAACTGATTGAAGAAAATTGATTTGTCCTGTAAACCAGTTAAATAAACTGACTTTAAGCATCAAATATCTCAAAATCAAAGGAACATATCGAAAATTTTGTAAGAACCTTTATTGTAGGAAAATTGAAAAGCTACAAAAAGTTTTTAACAATAATTTTTCTACCTCCCACAGAATCCGAGATATTCCCCAAAAAACTAATCATCCAAAGCCGCAATTTCCCAAGTGTTCACTTCACTCCCGAATTCACCCAAAAGACGATTGAAAAATAACTAAAAAATAATCTCTCAACCTGTGGCGCAGCAGTGGCAGTTCTCTGTAATGTTCTCTGAATGTTCCTCATAAATTTCAATTTTTCTGGGATTCCGTGCTCGAAAAAAACAATCAAAGTAAAAATTCAAAAATCAGAGGTAAAGTATGAAAAAAATTAATTTCACCTAGAGAACAACGTCGGGCAGGGTACAATGCCACTAGGCGTGTGTCATACCACTTCTCAATGTGCCATGGTTACCAATCCTATGGCCGGACATTGTGTTGTTACCACCGGTAACTTCTTCACGAACTATTTTGCGTTCTTTGTAGTAGATCTCCTCGCTCTCCTTGTCGCAGAAGAGGAGAACAACGCCGCCGAAAAGGAATATTGCGGCGCCCCAGCCGACACCGTAGGCCCAACCAAATTCCCATATCGGCCGATTTCCTGGTGAGAAGGAAAAAAATATTTTTATTTTTACTGAAGTTGAGGGTTAAATGGTTGGGAGGGTCAAATGACCCTTAATGGCATTTAGATTTAAGGGATACATTTATCTCTTGAGGGTCAAACGACTTTTAAAGACGTTTAGAGTTGAGGGTCAAAATATATTGGAGGTCAAACGACCCTTAATGATGTTTAGAGTTGAAGATCAAATGGTTTTCAGCGTCAAACGACCTTAATGACGGTTAGAGATGAGGGTCAAATGATCTTGAGGGTCAAACGACCCTTAATGATGTTTAGAGTTGAAGATTGAATGGTTTTCAGCGTCAAACGACTTTAATGACGGTTAGAGATGAAGGTCAAATGATCTTGAGGGTCAAACGACCCTTAAGGGCGTTCGCAGTTGAGGGTCAAATGAACCTTAATGACGTTCAGAGTTGAGGGTCCAACGACCCTTAATGACATTTAGAGTTGAGGGTCAAACGACCTTTAAAGACGTTTAGAGTTTAGGGTCAAATGATCCTGAGGGTCAAATGATCTTGAGGATCAAACGACCTCAATGACGGTTAGAGATGAGGGTCAAATGACCTTGAGGGTCAAACTACCCTTAAGGACGTTCAGAGTTGAGGGTCAAATGAGCCTTAATGACGCTTAGAGTTAAGGGTCGCACAACCCTTAAAAATCTTTGAAACTGAGGGTCAATCAATCTTTAACAACGTTTACGGTTAAGGGTCGCAGGGATTCAAGATCAAAAAGTGTCATTTGACCCTCACCAAAAAATCATGATTAAATCATTCAAAAAAATCATTAACGCTCACCTAAATTAAGCTCTGCTGCGAAGAACACAGGGTACACGATGAGGGCTAACAAAAGTGCCAGGACTGCAACAAAAAAATTATTCGTTACGCAAATTTCCCCATCCATCATGATTAATAATAATTAATCATCAAAAATTAATTATTATTAATCAATATTCCTCGCGAAAAAATATTGTTGACACAACCATAAAAATTTCAAATGCAAATGAAATTTCTCTGCATCCACTCATGACGTAATCAATTTCAAATGTCAAAAGGCAGATTTATATTTGATTTATTATTAATGGAGGATAATTACGTGCGAGCCCCATGAACAGGACAGCTAATCTATAGCATTTGTGTTTGTCCCTGTGATCCTTGGCTCTCAAACCAAGGACAGTGAGGAGGGTTGCAGCTACATCAGCAACAAGACTAACAATGCACAGTACAGCAGCTGCTTTGATGTAGCCGACGTCTCTGGCTGGATAACAACCGGCAGAGGCAGCGACATTAAAGGGTAATGGGGTTGGTGCACCAATGTCTATGCAGTGGAAAAATAGACCCTGTCGCCAGCCAATAGCCATTAACCAGTCGGTCGAGGCCAGGCCCATTATCATTAAGATTATCACTATTACTCCACATATGAATGCTATGACCTGTTGGGGTAATTTTATTCAATTAGTTGAGTTTGACATTGTCTTGATTGCCTGGGGCGAATTTTGGGGGAGACTACTGTGGGTTTTGAGAGTCTCGGGCTATTGGAGGTGGATTTCTCGTGCATTGAAGATCGATTATATACAGGGATAGCCAAATTTGTAATATTTTATTACGGTTAATATTGAAGCTCTATTCGTACGGTAAATTCAAAGATTATTGAAAACTGCAAAAAAATTGCAGAAAACTCGATTGGATTCGGCATTCTAATTTTTTTCTCAATTTAATCATCGTTTTGGTTTTTCAAAGAAGAAATGTTCAAAATTCAGGATTTAACCCAGTGTCTTATGTGAAAATCAACATTTCCATTGTAATCAAAGATTAAAATCTGATTTTTTTTTCATTTGATGGGAAAAAATCTAGAATTTTTTTGACACCTCGTAAAAAATAATCCACCGTTTTGCAAACAAGTTTTATTATTTATTTATCAGAGGGAAATGTTTGAAAAAATATCAATATTTTGCGAAATTTAATTCAGATAATACTGACTGGGTATGAATTTTTTCCATGCAATTTAGTTGAAAAATTTTAAAAACTGAAAATATCCAAAAGTACAGCGGAGCCCGGCCGGAGAGTAGAGCTACTTTAATTAGATAACATCACTCTTGAAATTTTTTGAGTACTTAAGTATCATAAATTAAGTATCATTATTCATCCCCAAAGAAATTCTTCCGTCAACTCCGAAACAAAAAAAA